GTTGCTCTTTTCGAAGGTTTAACCTTGGCTTTCGCTTGCTTGGGTTGTCTGACATTGCCCAGTCGGTAGGAGGACGCGATGGATTTGCTTTGATATTTTCGGATTGACGACCGTTTTGATTGAATGATGGCATGGTCTGAGACGACTTTGCCTTGCGAGGGGGGCTTGGAGGCCATTGAAAGGAGTTTTAAGGACTTGAGAAGAAGCATTTACTGGTAGCATAGTTGAACGAATTCACTGACATGAGCTTATGGCTCTGTTCCATCAAACCCTTGCATGCTCCTACCACGACAAGTGACAGGGACATGAGGCCTTGGCTCATGATTCCACGCAGCATTGGCAATCCTGACCTCTTGATTGGAAAGATCCGGGAAGCGAGTAAGACAACGACCCCTCGGCCCTTGAAAAACGAAACCGTTGGGACGGAAAGCCCCGGTACGCCGACATTTCGATAAGCCTTCTTAATAAGCATTGCCGCTGTCAGACAGCCGGCCAGTTTTGATTGGTCGAGGTGCAATCACCGCCCCCCGATATGCCGATTCAATCCGGGCACCGGGGGGTGTAGCCAGCTGCAGGGCCTAATTTCTAGTGGTCATTTTTTCTTGGGACCTGTTTTTTTGCCCCATCACAGCTGTTGTCTGCATCAACCTCTCAACCAAGCTCTCTCGCCCGCAACATCGTCGGCTGTTGCAATCACACGGGCAACTTCGAGTGGGAACCAAACGAAACACAAACGACAGTTAATTGCAATGCCATCGCCCATAGCACCTCTTGCCCGCGTGCAGGCTCCTCTGCGGCGGGCTCTCGCCTCGTCGGCTCGCTCCCGAGCCTTCGCCACCGTTCCTCCCACCTTCGGCACAACATCCGAAGCAGCATCGCAACCCCCGAAAGCCCGCAGACCGACCTACTTCAAGGACAAGAGCCTCGCGTCGCTGGACGACTTCATCGCGAGCAAGGGCGACCCCGCGGCCCTCTCCGAGGCCGAGGCCTACGAGATTCGCACCGTCGAGGTTACGGGCCCGACGGGCAAGAAGAAGACCATCACCCGCCTCCCGGAGTGGCTCAAGACCCCCATCCCCGCCGGCAACGAGAACTACAAGTCCATCAAGAAGGATCTGCGCGGTCTGGGGTTGCACACGGTATGCGAGGAGGCCAAGTGCCCCAACATCTCCGAGTGCTGGGGCGGCTCCTCCAAGAGCGCAGCGACGGCGACCATCATGCTCATGGGCGACACGTGTACGCGCGGATGCCGTTTCTGTAGTGTAAAGACCAACCGCGCGCCGGCGCCGTTGGACCCCCATGAGCCGGAGCACACGGCCGAGGCGCTGGCTAGGTGGGGTTTGGGATACGTTGTTCTGACGTCTGTTGACCGCGATGACCTGGCGGACGGCGGAGCGCGGCATTTTGCTGAGACGATCAGCAAAATCAAGGCCAAGAAGCCGAGTCTGCTGGTCGAGGCGCTGACCGGCGACTTTATGGGCGACTTGGACATGGTGAAGATTGTGGCGGAGAGCGGTTTGGATGTATATGCGCACAATGTTGAGACGGTGGAGGCGCTGACGCCGTATGTGCGTGATCGGAGGGCCACGTTTGCGCAGAGTATCAAGGTGCTTGCGCGGGTCAAGGAGGTGAAGCCGGAGATGATTACCAAGACGAGTCTGATGCTTGGCTTGGGAGAGCAGGAGGAGGAGATTATGGATGCTTTGAGGCGTACGTTTGTCCCCATCATTCTCTGGCTTACAGTCAGGAAACCGCGTGAATTGAAGTCAAGGCCGGAAAGAAATGCTAACATTTGGGGAAACATAGAACTTCGCAAAGCCAACGTCGACGTCGTCACCTTCGGCCAGTACATGCGCCCGACGAAGCGCCACCTCAAGGTCGAGAAATACGTCACCCCCGACGAGTTCGAGATGTGGAAGCAGCGCGCGCTGGATATGGGATTCCTGTACTGTGCCAGTGGTCCCCTGGTGCGGAGCAGTTACAAGGCCGGCGAGGCGTTTATCGAGAACGTGCTGCGCAAGAGGGCGGGCGAGAAGGCTGGCATGGCCGCGAGCGGTAGGCTGGGCCAGACTGTTGCTCTGGAGGAGGGGTTCAAGACGCTTTAGACCGGATTGTTGCTGTACTTTTACAGCGAGAATTGAGGATGTACGATCTGTGAGGATGGTGATGAAATAGACTAGGGGATGAGATGGATAATTGTAAAAGGGGGGTTAGATGGCATGGCTGGCGTTAATATTTTTGGGCTGGACGACGGGAACTTCCATTCATGGGCATCGCCATCTTCTACACCCGGGTGGCACACTTTTCGACATACAACCTAGGTGCATAGTAGACCTAGAAGAATATACGGATGCCGGGTGGTCTTCAACAATGGCCACTAAGAGCTATGAATTTACATCCGGGTCTCATGTTACTCCGTGCGTGCCATTTTCAAAGGGGTATGATGACCCAACTCGGGTACGGTGGATCTGGAGCTATCTACTCGTATGAATTCAACCTTACTTCCTCCTTCTTTCACCTCTCTACCACTTCGAATGGGTGGTCTCCGGCGTTTTTGTACCACGATCATAACTCGGCCGATTGATGAATCGTCGGAATCCTCAGGGGTAAGACCTCGAACCACCTAGTCGCCTCGTTGTGCCTGGTCCTGGCAATCGCATACCAATCTACGGACCCTCTGTCTGAGCCAAGATCGGATTCAGGAGGCAGGAATCGAAAAAGTTCAGAGACGTCGGATTTCCGCATCTTCAGCTCGAAGAAGGGAGAAGATGGCGTGGTCTTGAGAGGAGGCCCTAATTTCCCGGCGTTCCTGATGCGTGTTCCGCGTTCAAAAACTCACCGGATAGGGCTGTTATCGATTTCTTGAATCGGGTTTTAGTGCGTGTGAATGGAGAGACACCTTAACGGTCGAGTCTTCAAGAAAGGAGTCCTTTACTTATCAGTCTCTTGGCCTGCACCTCTGATCCCGCGGGATCCCTTCAAATAACACGGGATCTACTGAGGTATGGGCGCCTGAGAATGAGGGCATACGCGGCTCATGTCTGCTTTGATCTTGGCTTTTTCAGCTGAGCATTTTTTTACAGGGGAGCTGTTGGCTTTGGGGATAAGCGATGCTACTCTCATGCATCAATGGACGAGCGATAGATGTACCAACCCAATGGCCAAGGGGACGGCCGAGAATCTGGTAGCCGCAATGCGAGAGAAAAGCTGGCCTTGACCACCCCGGCCAACACCAATGCACCGTCCCATCACTTTTCATTCCAGGCCGGGGGAAAGCTTGGTCCTGTTCCTGTCATCTTTCCCGAGAAGTTTCTTCTCCATTCATCCCCGGCGACATCTAGCAAAAGCGATTATCGAAAGTTGAAACAAACGAGACCATAAGTGTCCTTGGTCAAGAATTAGCATCGCCGAACATCGCGTTAGAGCATAGGCTCCCGTTGGGAGTAAACGCCAACGGCCAACGTTCTGTCTCCCCTCGTTCCATGCGATGAGTGGAACTCCACTTCATCCACTGGCTCCCTTCAGACCAAGACACCCTGGACATCCCTTCTAGTTCTAGGTTGGTTTCTCACCGCGAAATGCCTCTCTCTCCTTAGGCCAGGCTCTCATGCATGCCCTCCCACCTCTCTTCGCTCACTCACCCACACGACATCATCCATAGATCACCAGCACCAAAGCAGATCAGCAGCTGCATATGCATCCTGCAATAATGATGCGCGTTCACGGTCCCGGAGGCGTCCCTCATTTCCCCCTCATTCATCATTTCCCGCCCCGACCTATCCCACACAGGCCTAGCACACCCTCTAAAGGCTCCAATGCACTCCACCTCCCCCCTCGTGGGTTGCCCGTGAAGTATCCGTAGGCTGGAATCACACTAAAACAACTGAGTAAGAAGCTTGCTTTCTTTGTCAAAGCCTGGTGTACCTGAACGGCGTGGACAGCCAGCCACAAGACGCCTTTCGAACGCCTAACGGATGACTGCCTCGTCAGCGCGTTGGGTCGCGAAGTAAATATTGGAAGCTTTGCGTCTTTTAGATTGAATCTTGTCGAAGGTGAGATGTGCAGCAGTTCACCCGGTCATTGTAGAGGCAAACAATGCTTTCCGGGCCGGCATGAATACGTCTACGCATCTGGTGGTCATTTCTTTCCTGCATGACATAGCATCTACAGTCATCCTGTCCGTCTGTCCCATGTTGGGAAGCGAATGGAGTAAGACGCGCGCGGGGAATGAGTGAGGGAGTAAAGCAGGACTAAAAGCTACGGGAAGCTAAGTAAATGAGACACACTGCTTTTGATTTTCTGCCCACGTTCATCCCCCCAGTCTATCCCTTTTTAGAACCTTTTATATGATAATTTCTTGGTCTATCAAGAAACGAACGGCAAAACGTCCCGCAAAAGCGCGGTTCTTGGTTCCTGAGAGGCTGAGTAGCGTTGAACCCGTCGTTCCACGGCTCCCACAGCTCTCTCGACCTCGTCTCCTCCACTTCAGCCCAACTCTAATAAAGTATCCCAGGCTTGTCGCCCTTCACCCCTTGTCGCTCCGTCAACTTTGTTTCTTTTTTCCCTACGCCTATTTGTACTCATCTTCCACTTACTCGGGACGTCCGGGCCTGAGAGTGTGAGTAGTAATCTACCCGATCTCAAGGTTCGTCCCACTGCTGGGGGTCCCTGAATGTCTATAGCTTTCTGATCCGTTGCCCTTATTGCTGATTCTGCTGAGAATCGCGCCACTCCTTTTTCTATTACTTGATTGACTTTCCTGCTCACGCCTCTCTTTTTCCTATCTCTTTTGATCTTCACCTTGCTGGCTTATTGATCAGGAGGGGAAGTGACCACGTTCATTACACAAATCTCTCCATCGAGTTCCGAACTCATTCACTCATTGAAATCCCACCAGCGCAGTCTATCTCGCTCTCACTTCCACCACACTCATTCGAATTCCTCGTAATCATAGTATCTTCACCTTACTCGAAAAGCAAATCAACAAGCAACCCGTCAAAATGCGCGTCACAGCCGCCTTCTGGCTCGCGGCCGCGACCCTCGCTAAAGCGGCCTACTGGATGGAAGACATTGCCCACCAGGGCATCTCCCCCTACCACCCGGACCCGAACTACAAGGTCTTCCGTAACGTAAAGGACTTTGGCGCAAAGGGCGATGGCGTGACGGACGATACTGCGGCGATCAATCTCGCCATCAGCTCCGGTGAGCGGTGCGCGCCGGGCAAGTGCAAGGGCGAGACGACGTCGCCTGCTACCGTCTACTTCCCTCCCGGGTGAGTCTTTGGGAATTGCAATTCAATTGAATGAGAGAAGAATGAAGAAGGATGAACTAGCTGACGATTTGCTGTAGAACTTATCTCATTTCGGGTTCTATCATCGACTACTTTTACACGCAAATCATTGGTGATCCGACCGATCGCCCAGTGATCAAGGCCGTGGCCGACTTCCCCACCAACACCACCCTCGGCCTCCTCGATGGCAACCCGGTATGTAATTAACTTTTCGAAATTCTATGGCTTTTAGTCATGGAAAAGATGCATTTTGTCAATTATGTCAATTGCATTAGTTGTATTGTGCGTGGAGTAATTGACTAACACACCCACTACAGTATGGCGCGAATGGCCTCAGCTGGGGCGCGACCAACGTCTTCTTCAGACAAGTGCGCAACCTCGTTTTCGACACCACGTCCATTCCTGCCTCTGCTGCTGCTTTTGGAATTCATTGGCCTTCGTCGCAAGCTACTGCTATCACGAATTGCGAGTTCCGCCTTGCTGAGGGCGCGGCGAGCAAGCATGTCGGCATCTTCATCGAGGAGGGTTCCGGCGGCCTTCTCAACGATCTTGACTTCTACGGAGGTCAATACGGCGTCAATTTTGGCAACCAGCAATATACTGCTCGTAATGTATAAACGGCCCTTTGATAGCTGTGGGAAAGTGAAGATTGGTTGCTGACTCGTTGTGTGTGAATAGCTTCGTTTCTGGAACGCTCAGGTCGCCATCAACCAACTTTGGGACTGGGGCTGGACGTACAAGAACATCTACGTTGAGAACTGCGGCATCGGCATCCGTATGCAGGACAACAGCACTTCTTCAATCACTCTTTTGGACTCTGAGTTCGTCAACACCCAAACAGCGATTCGCACTAGCCGTGAGCCCGGCGTTACGGTACCGGTCACGGCCGGCACTCTCGTAATGGAGAATGTCGCCTTCTCCAAGGTCCAGACTATCCTTCTCGGACCCAAAAACAACACCATCATCGCCGGAACCTCGAGCGCCACCGTCTCCCAGGGCTTCGCCATGGGTCACATCTACACACCTACCGGCCCAACCGACTACACCGGCTCTGATGCGGGCTACTTCCCCGTCTACCCAGCCCTTCTCGGAACCTCCGCCAACGGCACGACAAAGTACTACGAGCGCTCCAAGCCGCACTACGAAGATGTCCCCTCAAGCCTCGTTATCTCGGCCCGCTCCTTCGGTGCTCGCGGTGACGGTGTGACGGACGACACGGTGGCCCTCAACAACCTCTTCAACTACGTCGCCTCGAACCCTGCCGCTGGCCTCCTCGCCTTCGTCGACGCGGGAACTTACTACGTCTCTGACACCGTCTTCATCCCTCCCGGAGCTCGCATCGTGGGCGAGGCCCTAGCCTCCATCATCATGGGCGGCGGTGAGAAGTTCCAGGATATTGAGAAGCCTCACCCCGTTGTGAAGGTCGCTATCCCGGGCCAGTGCGGAACGATCGAGTGGTCTGATATGATTGTGTCGACTCGCGGATCTGCCCCGGGTGCCAAGGTCATTGAGTACAACCTCAACACCGTTGGTGAGCCCTCTGGTATGTGGGATGTGCATATTCGTGTCGGAGGTTTCGCTGGTACGCAGCAACAGCTGAAGGAGTGTCCTACCACTCCTAACGCTACTGTCACCGCGGATACTATTGACAAGAACTGCATTGCGGCATGGATGAGTATGCACATCACCAAGCCTGCTTCGTGAGTTGCCCCTGATTATGGATCTTCTTCTGTGAACAATGCGGGCTGACAATCTTCAAGTGGACTTCTTCAAGAGAACTGCTGGATCTGGACTGCCGATCACGACCTCGAGGACCCCGACTACAAGCAGGTTACCATCTACAACGGTCGTGGTTTGCTTATCGAGTCGACCGCCGGCAAGATCTGGCTGTCCGCCTCTGGAGTTGAGCACCATACCCTCTACCAATACATGCTCTTCAAGACCAGAGATGTGTACATGGGCCAGATTCAGTCCGAGACCCCTTACGTACGTATTCCCTCATGAAAACCAACTCTTTTACATGAAGCTGACCTTGACGATTAGTACCAACCCAACCCGCCAGCCACGATCCCCTTCCCTCGCGTCAAGGGCTACCACGACCCAGACTTCGAGACGGAATGCAAGGACGCCGACCCCAACGGCCCGCCCTGCAAGATGGCCTGGGGTCTCCGCGTCATCGGCAGCCAGAACGTCGTCGCGTTCGGCGCGGGACACTACTCCTTCTTCAACAACTACAGCACGGCGTGCTGCCAGATTGGCGCCGGAGCCAGGTGCCAGCAGCGCATCGTCGATGTGCGCGATGCGCCGGGTAACTGCACCGCGACTGATAACTTTGACATCTACAATCTGCAGATTGTGGGCACAACGGCTATGGTTACGCGGTACGGAAAGGATGTTGCATTTTACAAGGATAATATTGCTGGGTTCACGGCTGGTATTGCCTTGTATCAGCACTGAGATGTTTACTTCTTGGCTGTATAAGTAATGATATTCCTAATTCTTTTTTGTCATCGCCATATCGAGACCAATCTTTCGTTGGCGTGAGTGATTCCGCTCAGAGACTGTCTGTCGGAGAGTAATGAGGCTGGACTGATGATATCAGACGTCAGCATGGGTTTCGTTCACTTCTTGAATAGATTCGCCATCCCCTCGTGATGCTAGCCAATCCCGAGATGCTACATGCGCGATCCCTGTCACTTTCATTCCACATGCGAAACACCTTTCCGCACTGCATTTTTAACCACCCTAGGGGCCGCAAGAGAGTGCGAGTTTTGCCATTATCTCTAGTAGGATCGACTGGGGGATACGCACTGGGCGAATTACTTGTCCCCTCTGCAGGCGTTAAAAACGCAGTGAAGATTGGGAAACTGTATAAGTAGTGACGACCGCCGCTACTTTTTCTTGCGATAGTAGTAGGAGATGCCATGGAAGAGACTCTTTCAGTGAATAGCACTGACAATTGCTTTGGTCAATTTACAATATCATTGGTATACTTATGTCGCATCGAAACAAGCAATGAATCAATTTCCTACAAACTTGAATGTCATCCAACTTGCTGGATCCTCCTTCATGTATTTGGCATATCGAATGATGGCGCATAACGGGTCTCTCTGATATGGACAGTATTCTCACAATATTGCAACAGCCTGCACGATGAGATTTCATCAACGAAAGAGTCAGTTCATGGAATCAAACTTTTATTATGGGTATCATGTCTCCGTCAAGATGCCGGTCCAACACAGCGCCCCTGAACATCACAGAGCGTATCAGACCTCATACCACAACCTTCTCATGCTCGTCAACGCAACCCACAGAGCCTCGTCTGTCCTGATGTTGCGGCTGCCCTGGCCAGGCAGGATGTTGACCCAGTGGTCAAACAGCTCCTTGGCCTTTGAAGGACCCATATCCATACCTTCGAGCTCCTTGTCGTTCAACGCCGCATACTCGATACCTCTGGGTCCACCAAACGCAATGAGAAGATGCTTGAATTCTAAGGGCTCGGCGCTGGGGAAGGCCTCTGAGAGTGTGCGTCCGCGCTCCGATGTACCAACACTGACGTCGTAGCCACCCTCGAACTTGCACTCTGTGAACACCGCCGTCAGCGAGTTGGCGCGACGGACTTGATATCCCCAGTAGAAGCCGCCCTCCTCCCTCGGAGCCGACGGGTCGCACGCCTCGGCCTTTTGCGATCTCTGGTCCGGGTGGTACAGCGTCACGCGGGTATTGGGGGGGACCTCATCCTCGATCAGGACCTGGTCCTTAAGACCGACATCAATCATGGTGCCCCGGGGCGTTCCCTTGCCGGCGACGCCCTCGCGGTAGGGAAGCCATTCGGCCGGGTTCGGGTGGTGCGGCATCTCGAGCGAGGGCAGCTGGCTGGCGAGGCGCAGGTTCGGGTGGAGGGGGAAGAGCATCTTGCGCATGAAGGGTGGGACTTCGAGGTAGCCGAGGAGGTGCTCGAGGAAGTGGCAGGGGTCGATGTCGCCGGTGTAGGCTTTTGTGTCGACGCTCTTGGGGCGGGATTCAGTCGGGCTGTCGTCGAAGATTACGATCTCATCGACGGAGAAGACGGCGAGAGCGCGGGCGATGAGACCGGCTACGGAATTGCGGCGCTCAGCTGTAAGAGCACTGGAGAAGAGTTAGTATCTATACCAAAGACATTGGGCATGATTTGCGGTCGTACTCTGAGAGAATACTGCTGGGAATTGCAACTGAGACTGTCCACTTGCGGCCGCTACCGCTTTCTGAAGGGTCGACATAGCTGCCCTCGTCAGTCTTTCTCCTCTGCAGCAAATTAGCAAATGTCTGGGAAATTTTTCCGAATATGGGATTACCTTTGATCCTTGATCGTAGGCCATTTTGAAGGGGATTGGAGCGCAGGTAATTCTGGTAGCTCTGGAAATGTCGTCTTGAAGAAGAATTCGGGACAATGTTCGCAGCGTCCCAAAAAAGTTTCTGGGTGATGGTCCCGCTATCGATAATCCTGGGGTAAATCCGGCAGAACTGCGGAGTCAAGTCTGGCCGCCTTCCTATTCAGGTACCCGCCACCTTTCCGCTGGGACCAGGCCGCGAGCTATCCGTCAGCTACGCCGCGGACGACTCCCAAGGGTTCAGTTCTGTCCCCTTTCAACTTCGTGACACTTGCGCCAACGTATGAATCGCCCTCGTTACTTTGTGCCAAGTCATTGAAGCCATGAGTCTCATCAACATCCAGTCCGCCGGTCAATGGCAAGGCATTCTAAGCGGTAACAATATCGTTATCGCAGACTGTAAGTGGCCTCAGCAGCCGTCCCCCCGCGCATCCGAGAGATCGCTGACAAACACCATGACAGTCTACGCCGACTGGTGCGGCCCTTGCAAGCAGATCGCACCCCATGTCGAACGTCTCGCGAAAGAACACTCCAAGCCGAACAAGGTCGCCTTCTGCAAGATCAATGTCGACAGCCAGTCCACCATCGCCCGCACTCACGGCGTCAGCGCCATGCCCACCTTCATCATCTTCCACGGCGGCCAGGCGATCGAGACCATCAAGGGCGCGAACCCGCCCGCCCTCACACAGGCCATTCAAAACGCGCTGAAGCTCCCTGACAAGGGCGGCCGCTCCGCAGCCTCGTTCAAGACCCCCGGCCGGACGCTCGGCGGGGATAAGCCCGCGCGGGCTAGTCTCCAGCGGCCGTTTGCTTGGCACTACCGCGATATTCTGAGCAACATCATTACGTTTATTGGATTGTATCTGGTGTCTCTGTTTGCGGTACGTTGGTTCACGGTCGATCCGAAGGGGAGCAAGAAGAACCGCCTGCTGACGGACTGGTAGATTGATCCCCACAAGGCGGCCGAGATGTCGCAATTTAACCGCGTGAACCCGCCCCCACCGACGGTCAAATCCACAAAGAGCGCTGGCCCCGGCACGAGACAGCCGCCGAGGGGACCAGCTTTCAAGACCCTGGCTGATTTGGGCGGCGATGAATGATATGATCGATTACAGGCGAAAGGCGTTTGGGGCTATTTATCTGAGAGTACATAGAAGCCCCACTGGGCTCCAAGAGCATCCTTCCATTGATTATTATACACGACAAGTTCCATGATCCGTCGCAAGCGATTAGTAGCCTGCTAACTTGCCTCTACCAAGCTATCGCGGGCTAGCATCGATAGAGTACATACCTCGTTTTCAGCCAATTCGCATCGTTAGATTGGAGGAACCCTTCGTGACTGTTCATGCTCCGGATAAAATGGCAATCGGGGCGCAAGCCAGACAGTATGGGGCTGAGTATCCATATTGAACATGCTGCATTCTGCAGGCGCTTGCTTGGGGCCGCAGCTGCCTTCGGTCAACGTGAGGCTGGCGAATAGAATCTCTGTTGACGGGGTTTGTCCTGCTTATCCGCCCCTCTTCCACTGACTGCCTGGTCTAGCGGCTTACTACTTCTCTAAGCCTGGTTTCCATATCATTTCTACTTCACCGTTTCTGCCCTTGTTTTCTTCCCATGCACTTATTGTTACGTTCTCTCATTTTTTGAATCAGATTTCCTCTGTCTCGGCTCTTGCTCTTGCTGAGAGCCCCGAGAGCATCCTCCTGAACTTAGGATAGTAGACTTCAAAGCTATTCCAACCGGCTCCCTCGCCTCACATGCATCTCATCAACGTTCATACCCGGTTACTGGAGGAATTCCATGCCGACAAACCGAAGTATGCCATCTTATCACATACTTGGGGGCCAGACAAAGAGGAGATATCTTTCCGCGAAATCAAGCAAGGCGACACAGACAAGCCAGGAATCGGAACGATCAAGCTTGAAGGTTGCCTGCGACAAGCCAAAACCGATGGACTCGACTATGTCTGGATTGATACTTGCTGTATCGACAAGACCAATGCCAACGAGTTGGGCGAGGCGATCAATTCCATGTTCCGCTGGTACCAGGAAGCAAAGACATGTTATACGTTCCTCCAAGATGTACCCTCGAAGGACAATCCCAAGTGGAAATCCAAGTTTCGAAAAAGTCGTTGGTTCACGAGAGGATGGACCTTACAAGAGCTCCTAGCCCCGAGCGAGCTCATGTTTTACAGTAGCGACTGGCGAGCTTTGGGTACAAAGCTGCAACTGTCCGAAGTCGTAGGAGACATAACAGGTATCCCGGCACGGTTTTTACTGGGTGCTTCCAACCTACGCGAAGCAAGTGTGGCACAACGCATGTCTTGGGCTTCGAATCGAGAGACCAAGAGGGTAGAAGACATTGCGTATTCGCTTCTGGGTATCTTCAACGTTGTCATGTCACTGATATATGGAGAAGGCGATGGTGCTTTCATCCGGCTTCAAGATACGATAATCAATGCCACCACAGACGACTCAATCTTGGCATGGGGCTTGCGGCCACAAATCACTGTGGCAAATTCTAGAAATCGCCCAAGGGATTTTGTTGGGGGCATTCTAGCCTCTTCTCCTGCAGCATTTGCAGGCTGTGGGAAGGTTGCATCCAGGGAAAACCGCACTCCGACGATAGAGGGTAATATTTTACGCGGCTACCTGAAACTGCGAATACCACTTCACTCTGATCGCTCCGGGGTCACATATGGCCTTCTCAGCTGTCGATACGACAACGATGGCAGGGAAAGAGTAGTAGGGATTCCTCTTTCCCGCATTGCGCCGGGAGAGTCAGGTGGCGAGTACGTCAGACCAAAGAACAGCAAGACAACAATGTTGCCAGACGTGGCGTGTGATACACCAGCATCATCCATACATGCTTTGGCGTCGATTAGTCCCGAAGAAACTCGTGTGAAGGACTGTCGCTATGGATTCTCAGTCGAAAACATATTCACCGAAGGCCTCGAGTTGATCGATGTCTGGCCGACTGAATGTTGGGACAAGGATAATGCTTTCCTCTATACCGGCATGGACTTCCACAACGAATCGACTCAGCGAACATGGGCCAGACTTCGACCTGCTCATTCTGAAAATGATT